AAAATATCTATTTGACAAATCCAAATACCGAGTCTGAAGACTATAAAGATATAAGACGTAGACGTGAATTTTGTCAAAACCGGAGATTGATTACAGAGAATATCTTCAGACCTATCTCACTTCTAAGTCATGTATACGATCTGTTCTCGAAGGTCTTCACGAATCATCTCAAACGCAGATTCGATGACAGTGAACAGGCCGGGTTCCGAAAAGGGCTTCGGCAATATATAGACTCAACATACACACTTTGCCAAATTATACAAAAGACTGAGGAATATAATCAGCCATTGTGTCTAGAGTTATGATAAAGCAAATCGAAGCGGTGCTGTAGTCTCTCCAGCGTGGCCATATCAACCATAGATACTTCGACGTGCTAAAGTGTTTGTATAGAATCGCGATCATGCTTATTTGACTCCAAGACCAAAGCATAAAACTGATTCAATTGCAGAAAGGAGTGAGACAGGGAGACGCTAGCTTGCCTGCGCTTCATATACGATATAATTGTCATGGCCAATTCGTTTGATTACTTGAATTCCACGCTCACCGACCGCAATGACATTTCCCGATAGTCTAAAATTTCATCACCATTGGGAACGACATCCTTGAAATTGTAGAACACAACACATACCTTGGTCAGATCATCAATTAGGTAGGTCCAACTTCGATATAGAGGTCGCCAGAAGAATCAAACTCGGATTGCCGTCGCGTTTGGGAAGTTACGCGAAGTCTTCTCACCGAAAATGCCATATAGCCTGAAGACCAGAGTGGTAAATTAGTGTGCGTCACTGGTGATGACGAATGGAATTGGTCCCCGACTTCTGGCTTTCTAGAGAAACTCAGAGTTACTCTGCGCACGATAGAGCTTGTCATCATAGTGGGCTCTTTGCGTGACATAATCCGAAATGCAAGTTCGAAAGAACCAAAGTTACCGACAACTTGTCAAATCTGTAGACTGAAGTGGCAATGATTGGCTTTATCGCTCAAAGCAAAGACGACCGATGGGCCCAAAAAGTACTCCAGTGGCGACCACGGACGGGAAAACTCAGTGAAAGCAGGCCTCCCGCTTAGTGGACCGATGAAATCGTGGACGTTAGAGTCGCGAGGAGCGAATGGATCTAAGTGGCAAGTTTGAAGACCTACAGAACTAACTAAGGAAGAAGCCTTTATCCAGCCGTTGACATCTTTCGGTAGATAATAATACAAAGTAATAAGCAGTTTGAAATCATTTAAAAAAAAATTCAGAAATGGAATACAATTATGGAACCAAATCAAATCGAGCCTTTTAGGAAGTAGGAAGTATGATATGATGCTGTAGGTAGGTAAAATTAATCACTACTTGTCTGTGTAAATTGCTTATAGAAATCGTTCTAGCACAATTGCTTATATACTATGGCAAATTTTTCAAGCAATTGTTTGGTTTGACCCAATTGGCCCATGCAACAGCTCTACTATGGTAGTATAGCAGAAACTCTCTGCCTAAGATGATCCTATACGCAGCCTTACTTCCAAATCCACAAAAAATGGAGATTTCTAGCGATTGTAAAACTAGGTCTACTGTCAACTGTCATCACTTGAATTAACGACTCAAGCGTCAGTGCAATTCGTAACCTCAATAACCGCGGAATATATGTACATATGTACAATGTAAAATATAAATAATATTTTAAAATAAATATTAACTTTAAGTTTCGTCGATTTAGAGCCGTTTTAAAAACGACCATCACTGGCGCAATAATAACAGTTCCGCTCAAGTAAAATTTTCAGGAACATACAATGATGGTGGATTTGCGTTTTACACCTTTTTCAGAAGTAAATCATTAAAAGGCGATGAAGTTATCCAAATTTCAATAAGATAACCAAAGCAATGACCAAGATTTTCGATTACATGAGAAAGCTATAAAAATCGCACCGTTCATTAAGGATACGGCGCCGCAGATATACAAACCGTCTTGTAGGTCTCTTCAGCACATTTTTGGAGAGGGGCCAATTTTGACTGCCATGAAGGACTGGTAAACTGGTCCTCAAAACTATTCGAGAAAATAGTCTCTGAGAACTCCTCAGAGATGCGATTAGCGGAGACGGCGGTGATTACAAGATCCCTAAGACCAACTCCCTCTTATAAAATCCCTCTTAACCTATGTTACCTGAATCGTATATTTAAGTAATATTTAAGTTACCTTGTTATAAGATTCGTCCCAGGACACCGTTCGTCTCTCTTTTGCAGCTTGAAAAAAATCAACATAATTTCTGAAAGAGAAAGAAACATATTATAGTAAAATGAAATTGTGTGATTAGATATTTACTTCGTGCGCAGTGAAAGCGCTAGGCGGCCCAAACAATCATCACGTTAGACTATAAAGTTGACATTAAATTCACTATCTGACCAGTTTATTTGAACTAAGGGGGTAAAGGTTTACTATTTATGCTAATGGATTAAGGCCTCTTGCTAATATATGGCTCTATTATATATGCACACAGGTTTTAGAACACAAGAAAAAAACAATACATTTGAATGGTATACCAACGTTCTAGTTCATCAAAAGTAAAATGCGTGTCCTTTTGTATTTCTACCCAGTCAGCGCTATGTTTCTTCCTGAATCTGATTTCTTCCATAGGATCTAAAGTGCTGTCTAAAGACGCAGACATTTTTGTAACAAAGTATAATTACAAATATAAGAAATTTTCTGAATAAAATATTAATAGTATCTAATTTTGAGTATGCTTTAAAGAATGTGTTGACATTGACACAGATTGACATTACGTTTGTGTCGTTGCCATATAGATTCCTTCCTTACATTAAATAAAAGTATGTAACCTCGAAATCACAGATTAAGATTTCCCTATACTAAGCGTCTGTTGCACCTGATCTACTTTTTATAAGCTCAAGATAGACTTGTGTGTAACATTCTAGCTACGTAGGGTACAATATAAGTGGGGATTCCTGTATTCGCTCTGATAAAAACTTACCTACATGCCAGGCGCTATGATTTCGGCACACTGGGCCAAGCGCAACGAGAATACACCTCATCAAACATAACATCATAACTCTCATCATATCAAATTAGACCATCTTGCTAGTAGTCCTGATGGCATTGTAACTGCATCTGTATTGTCTGCATTTTTTTTATTCGGACAACTTTTTTCTTTGTTTTTTTTTTGTCAGGGGAAAATCATCTAATGACTTCTCCCGCCCAGGGTAAGGCGAAAGAGAGTGTCAGACTCTTACTGACTAAAAAACCCCCCGTTCCTTCTCCTGTTCTGGACGGAGGTCGCGGTGCCTCATTGCGCTTAACCCGCAGCCCCGGCTGAACATCAGCCCTATTGGGCCCCACTGTGGTGGTCTATTGGCTCTTTGAGGCGCGCGCGAAACGTTACGCGCCGTACGCTCGGGTCCCGTTCGTCTCCCAGTTCAACTAGCTATGAACCATGGCCTGATTAAGGCCGGGCGCGAGAGGTCGCCGCCGCCGATGACTTCATTGAGAACACGGCAGTGCTCAGCCCAAGTAGAGCACTCCGCCACCGTATGCTCCACCTCGTCCTCTAGGTAGTCCTCACAATGACGACACTCGGGCGTTTCCTCCCGCTGGATCCAAAACAGGAACCTACCGAAGCTGCCGTGCCTGGTAAGCGCCTGCGTCAGGCGGAAGGTGAGGACGCTGTGGCATGTCTAAAGCCACTCCTCAAAGAGAGGTCTTACCGCTGCTATAACAGCGTGCCCGTTATTCTGACAACTTGCCGCTTCCTCACGTAACCGCTGCAACTCCTCTAAGCCAGCATCTTCAATTGATACAACCATGCGACCTAGAGACATGGTTGACTGTCTTGGATCCCACAACGAAATAAATCAGAACATTATAAATGAGGAGAAGAAAACACAAAATAGTTTCAACTTCCCTCGGTAAATTTAATACAGAATACAGAATGACTTAAGCCTTAAAGCCACAGAAGAGAGTGTACAACGGGGAGAAGCCTAGTCCCCAAACTCCACGGAAAATTTTGTTATTGTAATGGAACCTTTGTGTGAGCAGCTATATAATTGTTTCCAGTAACAGGTACACACGGAAAATGGATCTACATTCTACAAAGTCCGTATAATAAACTATACCTGATGAGACATTTAAATTATCTAACATAATGTTACGTTCGCATTGCCAGAGACTACACTCCCAGAGTACATGATGGAGAGACTGCTCGTATTGCAGTTCCGCTATCAAACATTGGCACAATTGGGAGTCAACAAGCTTAAATGAAAATAATTTGCTATTATAGTTGCCATGACCCGTGAGGAACTGGGCTACAAAATGATCCACCTCCAACCATGTTTTCTCCAGCCGCTCTTGTACGGATGGAACAAACTGATAAAGTGTGACCCTCAATAGAAGATTCCCGTCTATACTGCCATTCAATAACAAGCTCAGACGTCCACAAATCTAAAATAGAAATAGATAGTTGGCAGAATACAAGTGAACGTATTTCACAAAATAATCTGCCTCACTCACCGTAGCTGCAATAATCTTTCAGCATTGGTGTTTCCGAACCGATACCACCTTCGAACCATCAAGTATTGTGCCTCATCTGGGTGCCGAGTGATCAATTTCATTATCCAAAAATTTTTCCGTCCCTTAGAACCCAGACTTGTAATAACTAAAAAAACACCTGCAGCTCCAGCTGGACATCGACACTTATGGACCCATCTGTTTTGGTCTAATGGCTCTGTTTGGTCTAAGATCAGACGACGAGGTACCCTTGCTCGCCCACCGCGTACTTGCGCTTGCGATGGCCGGAGATTGTCTTCCATCCCGATGCCCGGAATGTCTCCTGTGGTGTATAGCTAGGGCGACAGCCCTATGCCATAAAAAAGATCACATCTGAATACCAAGATTACAAAATGTTAAAATATGTACATTCGATAGATTTCATTATATTTACTGGAAGTGTTATCGACCTAATCCAATAAGTACTTACATACTGTATTTAATCGGATACATCTTAAAGTTATCTTGCATGAAGAAAATAAAGAACAAATGTCAGTATCTTCCAATATCATATCATTACCAACACGTTACTAATGAGGCAGGCTATCTGTTATCCCTTCTTAACAACATGTTCGTTTAATGAACTGACTAATCATATAACTGTTACAAGTGACTGAATTAACAGTAAATGCTGAGCTGAATATTTTATAATTGGAAACTCACGTAACGCCAGTAAATTATCATGTAAGAATACGTGTATTATTATATTTATTTATTTATTTATATTACTTCTGAGGCCTCTTAATGAGAGGACCAGAGTGGCAAAGCACCGCCGTGTCCTCAGTGAAGTGATCAGCCTCTCGCGTCCGGCCTTAGTCGTGTAGGCCATGGTGCGAAGTGAGAGGAACTGGGAAGCCATCTCCTCTTTCTGCGAAACAGTGAGGCCCGCAAAGGAGGAGGCGGAGCGCGTGACAGAACTATCCTCCTCACACCTCAGCCGCCTCAATAGGCGACACTCCGAGCTACGGGGATTGACCATCACAGATAGGGCCCTATTAGGGCTGATAATCAGTCAGGGTTGTCGGGCAAGCGCAATAAGAGACCGCAGTCTCGGCCCAGAGCAGGGAAAGGTACAGGAAGGTTTTTAGTCAATAAGAGTCTGGTCCTCTGCGGGCGGGAGAATTCATGTAATGATCTCCCCTCACAAAAAAGGTCGAATGTATGTCGCTTTGAAAGTACATTAACACAACATGTCTTTTAAGACAGAAAGCGTAGAAGATAAAGAATCTTCTGCTCTAGTCTAGTTAGTTTTTCAAGTTAGTTTTTTAGATGTCTTAACAATCCTTTTTTCTTTTTAATTTTACCTAACAGCCTTTGTAGGTACACACATTGGAATGCAATAAAGCTATTGTTGCTGTAAAAGTAATGTATCTCAAATCACTCACTCTAGAAACTTGAGAAAATTGTAGCTATCTATCAGTTAAAAAATTTTGGAAATCCGACCGGTGGTTTCGAAGATGATCATCTACATACAAACGTATAAAATTTACTTCTTTACAATATTATTATAAATAAACACAAAAATCACATCGTTTAACAAATGAAATGAAAAGAAGGTCAAAATATACAAATTTTCGTTTCATTTGTTTAGTATTTAAAAGAAGAAGAACCTAAAATGCAAAAAAAAATTAGAAAGGAATTTGAAACGTATTTTAAGTGGATTTTTCTCTAATCTGGGCCCATACACAACAGAAAATCTTCATAAAAATTGGAATTGCATCCTATTTGGTTTTTATGAGAGAGAAAAACCACTCGTGTACTAAAGTTACCTTATAACGCCATCTATGGTGGTCAAGGTCAGTCTGAATACATCTGTGGAAGAGATACCAGATGGAATCGTTAGAGGGTGTTCTCCACAAATAGTATGTCTGCTTACAGCACTTACTTTATGGTAAATGATGAGAAATTATGTACTTAAACGTGATGTAGCATAAAATTAATAACGGCTTACAAATCCTCGAAGAGATATGCAATAATGCATATAGAAAAGAAAACTTCTACTCAGCAGTTATTTTATACATTATTTAATAATTAAACAAATTAAAATAACTGTGAACTGTGTGTGTGTTTAAAAAATATTCTATTGTGACTCGCATCTCATTGCTAAACACCTCAAAACGGAAGGGCACAGAGAGAGTTTCGGGTCTATAGAGAGCGCTGCTCGAGCCTCGCGATACAAGCGACATTGACGGAAAAAACGGGATAGTGAAGTAAAAATAATTTATTCCCACTAAACTACAAACATATATACTTTAGAAATGTCAAAATAAAATAATAATCTGTCAGTCTGTTTATCAGTGAAAGGAGATGCCCGTTCGAAAGAGATGAAAAATGAGCAAGGACATTCATAATATATTTTAAGCTACCGATTCTGGCACATTCCGTCATCACGATACTTGCCAGATGATTAGAAAAATAGGAACGAAGCAACGAAGTAGTGGTTTTCCTTATTTGAAAGTAGAACGACAATCGCAATTAGCGATATTCGCCATGATCTAGTTTTCCGAGATCTATGTTTGCTAAGCTGTGGACAAAGTTTAGATATTGTGATATACTAATCGAATTAAGGGTTGTTCGTTGGCTTCTTGTTTTTAGGGAACAGCGGCCAAGCGAGCCAAAAACTGTGAGAAATAAGATAAGCACTGACCTAAATAATTTGTTATTGTTGATACACAAGCTTTGTCTCTGAATAGGCGTAAATATTATATTCTTTGCCAGCTTTCTTTGTGGGAACTTTTTTATTGAATTATGACAATAGCTTCATCAAATATTTTCCTTTTATGCTACTGATCCCAATAGCAGGAAACAGTATTTTAGTGTAAGATTTCCTTGTGACCAGATCCGTCTTGTCTTATATAGATTCATTCATATTTTTATTAGTATTATATTTTTGTGTAATGTTGGCAAAGGAGCTGATGCATTGCTTGGACAGTAAGCAATCGGCCTGGACACCAGAGGAATTACAAGTGTGCTTCCGACCTTTTTCGGATTAGGATTCCGGAGATTCAGGGATTGGGGAAGGATTGGACCTCCAGTAACCCAACGCAACACCCAGCGTAACACAGCGCTGTGGTTGTTTCACACCAATTTTCTGTGAGTCCGTGATACCACTCCAGTCGAGACTACGGTGGACTCTCCCACGCTTAGCTATTTACACCATAGATAGCAATAAATAAAATTAATTCTCTTCATTTTAACCTTGTCGACTATGATTTACTATTAAATCGTAATAAGATAAAAGAGCCAACCAGCTTTTGTTTATTTTTTTATAGAAATCACGTCGATTGTTGCGTTATTATAATGTAAGCAGTGCTAAATTGATGTGATTTTCTTTTTATTTAGTATTTAAACTAGATTTCATGTCTTCAAATCATTGACGTGCTGATAGAACTATGCATCCAAGTCGTATGAAAGAACATTGAGAATTAGTCATTTTTAAATTTGTCGAACTGAATGACGAGTCGTGCCAAGAATAGCATCGAATTATATTTCAAACATTTTCATCAGGAAATGAAATATTTAAGTTGTCATTTGCTGAAATGCTCGTTTGATAAAATGCTCTTGTTATTTTTCAGTGATACAACATTCGCAAGAAAATTGAAGTTTATTTAGATAACCATAGAAAAGAAGAAAGAAAAAATTTATTGGCTAGAAACACGGATTGGTATTTATTATATGATGTTACAGTTATATTGTTATTGTTTCACATGTCTTGCCGTTTAACCGGCATGCTAATTTATATGACTATGAATCATTATGTGAAGTTATTATTTACTACATTATATAAGTTTATAAGTTATCTAAAACGTATTAAGTATACTCGTGCAACAAAGTGTCTACGCATGTTTGATAAATAAAATTGTTATAAAATCGCAAAAATGTGGTATCGCAGTCGAAAAAAGATGCATTAAAAAGAAAATGCGATAAGTATGAATCTGAACGGACTGAACGGAAGACGTCAACTACTGAACAAAGGCCTCCCCCTAAGTCTTCCACGTTGAACGACCACTCGCATCCTGCATCCATTGGCTCCCCGCGAGTCTGACGATGTTGTCGGTTCACCCATGCTACCTTTGCCTAAGGTCGTACGTTTGCCTCCGGTTGTCCATCGGCCGTCTGCACGTTGGGCAACGTGGCCTGCCCATTGCCACTTTAGCCTGCAGATTTTACGAGCTATATCGGTAACTTCGGTTCTTTAGCGAATATCCATATTTCGCATTTAGTTGTGCAAAGAAATCCCGAGCATAGCCCGTTCCATCCCATACTGAGCGACTCTGAGTATATCACGTAGGTGTATAGGTATAAATATGTATCGTGATATATAATTGATTGGTTGTCCAAATTACTTTCGTTCGAAGACAAGGTTTTTAAGCGGTGTTGTTAAAGGTGTATCAAGCGAAACTTGCATCTTGATAAAAAATATAAACAGATTATGACACCAACTTCTTTGAACTTTGATGGGTGGGTAAAACATACAAAAAATATCACAATACATTCCTTTAATGCATAAAGTAGGCAGAGAAGAGAAAATACAAATATTGGTCATCCACAATGAACGTGTTTATCTTACAATTTGTGTTACAATAATGGCGACTAATTTAAAACAATTACTATTTAAACATTGTACAACGTGCAATGAAGTGTTTGACATACTTTTATGAATGTAATATAAATTAATATTCACATAATGCTTGTTGTGAACAAACACAGTTCCTCTCATAATAGTATAATAAAAATTTACAGCAATTAATCCACCCACATTTACCACTATCAGATTTTTTTTCTCGAAAAGGAACATAAGCGCTCTCTTCTAGTTCATTAGTTACCTATTTCTATGTAAAATTACATCGTCTCTGTTCCCCGGAGTTGCCATAATATTATCTTGATTTTTCGAGATAAAAATTTAGTTATAACCTCTCTGAATATAAAACCTAATTTAGCGTGGCTCTTTAGTAATTCTTACAGCTCAATTGGGTTATAATAAATCTTAAAATATAAAAAGGCCTCCTTTGAATAGTAAAAATACAATCTCAGTTACAAGTATACATAAACTAATAAATTAAGGAAAGTGACTAAGACGAAAACTTCTTCATGAACACCGTGATTGATTTGATGGTAAATAAATAACACCAATAATTCTTCAATGGATTATCAATACCTTCAATTTATGCGTTTCATTTTGTTTATTCATGAGGCCTTTAATTGTCTATTAAGCTCATAAATCTCAAAAACTAGGTTAAGCTTCACCGCAAAAAGATGTTTGTGTATTTACTTAGAAACATTTTGGCCATTCAGCGAAGGAGCGCCAACACAATTTAAATTAAGTAAATGCATCGATACCGGCTTTATTATGCGAGTGATTGGGAACCCAATGAGTTCGGCCACAAGTAATTACATTAGAATATTTTCGGACAACATTGTGGAAGTATGGCACACAACAAAACATTTTTGCTTTGCGAACTGAGCCTGTTTTTATTCTTATTTGTTAGTCAAAAGCCTTTATTATCCAACAGTCTGCACTATGTTTATGGGCCATTGCATAGCAGGCCTGTGAGTGACCTAAAAATATTTGCTTTGCAACCAAAAATAGAATTGGTTTCCATAGACTTTCGAATCGTGAGATTTTTTACTGAATATTTCATACTGCTGCCGTGATGTTTGGCGTTGACAAACCTTTCTCTTTTCGACTCGATTTTTTTTCTTTATAATGAAAACGTTTTATATTAAACATTAAACTTCATAAATATTTAATTCTAAATAACTTCTATTTGTTAACTAAGTTAAGTTGTTAAGTTTAAGTGTGGGAGAGCCATGCTTCGGCACGAATGGGTCGGCTCGACCGGAGTGGTACCACGGCGTCACAGAAAACCGGCGTGAAATAACCACTGCGTTGTGTTTCGCCGTGTGAGTGAGGTTACCGGAGGCCCAATCTTTCCCCTTCCCCAATCCCTCCTCAATCCCTAAATCTCCAAATCCCTAATCTCTTAAAGGTCGACAACGCACTCGTAACTCCTCCGTTGCGAGTGTCCATGGGCGGCGCTGATTGCTTACCATCAGGTAATCCGTCTGCTCGTTTGCCGACCTATTACATAGAAAAAAAAAATAGAAGCAGATGGTAAGGCATTCAGTAAGTTTCTTCTTAACAAAATGCAGGCAGAATTGACGAAGAAGAAAATACAAAGTTAAGCGAAGAGCCTTGTCGTTGTTGCTTATGTGGCTAATAATTGCCATACAGCCATCACAACCTCTGAACATATCGGATATGTTTTAAATCATTTGACTACGTCCCTTTAATATTTAGCGCAAACTCTTCAATGCTTCCACATTGCAAATCCTTTGTCATAATTAATTAACTATTTTCTATAGTATCAAAGAGGCTTTGAAAAAATGTAACCTGATATTTCAAAACCATCTTTCCACCTTTTATTTAATGAAGACTGTAGTAAGTTTGAACAAAAGCCTTTAGCTGATGGCGCAAAGTCATGGTAACAATGGATATAATGCATCTCAGTGACGAAGACATCTCTCATCTAATGGAAACTATCGAGTTTCTTATGGTATTTTACCTTGTAATACTAATGACGTCAATCTTAATAATAAGTCAGAAAAACAATAATGAAAGGTTAATTCTTCATTAATATCTACATAATATAATAGTAGGAATCTTCTAGCCTTTTAGGGAAACGAGCAGACTGATCACCCGATGGTAAACAACTAGTGCTGCACTACTAGACTTAACTAGGAGCTACAATTTGAGTTTTTTTTTTTTGTAAATCATATGAACTATTTCCTTGGCTGCAATCCCACATGATGGTAAGTAGTGAGTACTTCCACTAGTTAATGCAGAGCCATTCACTCTAACTAACTATTCACTCTTGCTTTAAAGACATCTAAGTCATGACTGGACGGGAAGACCGTCGCAGGAAACCTATTCCAATCCTTAAATGTGTGTGGTATAAACGACGAAGCGAAACGCTTAGACCGGATGGTAAAAGCCTCCACAATATAAGAATGGATACCCGATATACGTCGGATCGTCCCGTGGTAGAAAGGTGATGGGGGAATCCTCAAGTTGTTGCCGTGCTCACCACCATCCAAAATATATCCTATAAAATACCGAGAAGCTGGCTACGCTATGCTCCAGGTTCTGAAGATTCGTTTTAGCGTTGCCGACCTTTGAAGCAATGGCAAAATCGCTGAGGAGGAAGGAGTCCTTAATACATTATTTGTTTCCAAAAGAACCAAAGCGTTTTCAAAGTTACGAATGTGTATTGTTTACTGCCTAAAGGGTAAGTAAGTGCCCATACGCCAATCATGTTATTGCAAAAAATGAGGACTTCAGAATTGATTCATAAAGATTTTGTATGAAAAGTGTGGGAGAGCCAAGTTTCGGCACGAATGGGTCGGCTCGATCGGAGCGATACCACGGCCTCACAGAATACCGGCGTGAAACAACCCACAGCGTTGTGTTTCGCCGTGTGAGTGAGGTTACCGGAGGCCCAATTCCTCCCCTTCCCCTATCCCTTCCCAATCCTTATATCCGCAACCCCCATCCCCAAAAGGCCGGCAACGCACTCGTAACTCCTTTGGTGTTGCGGGTGTCCATGGGCGGCGCCGATTCGCCATCAGGTAATCCGTCTGCTCGTTTGCCGACTTATACCATAAAAAAATATATATATCACCAAAGCTTAGCTAGGCCTTCTAATGCGTAAAGCATAATAATCCAACAGTTTAGATGAGTGTCTAAACTTCGTGGACTTTCAGCGCAGTGGCTCAGCTTGAAGGCACGTTTCTCTGACGTTAAGCTGACTTACAATATCAACACTAAAGGACTAAAGTGAAATTTAACTTTGTACCTACATTTTATGTGTATGTATTATATTCTAATAGAATTGTAATAACAGACATTAACAGCCCCATCCAAAGGACGAATGGTTCCAAATGCCACTGCCGGTTGTAAATTACGGTCAGATTATAAGGTCGAACAAAGTATCTTATTATTGAGTTTTCTCCAAAAGATGAAGACGAAAAAAGTGACTGCATACGTATTAGACCTAACAATGGTGTTAGAAAAAAACGTGACTGTGCAGAATTTTTCACATAAGTTGCATGGGATATAGTTGAGCCAAATATTGGACATAAATCTAACACGTGGAAGCAAATATTAAATGTATTAACATACTTATTTTCTCGGTAAGTAATGCTCACGACTCAGTGCTTGCTGCGCCGCGCTTCTAATGTGGTTTTAACACGTGACACGGTGCAGCAAGCGCAGACTCCAAAATTGAACGTGACGGTAGGTTAGGCTAATGACTATCTTAAGTTAATTTAAAATTATTTTTAGCTGTTGCACTTTGAGGTCGTTTTTAAGTAATTTGTAATATTTGATGATTTTAAGTGTATGCCTTACTATTACTTAAGCATGAAAGTTAATTATTCGTTTAAAAAAATACGCAATTGCTAGTATTGAGTTGTCTCATCAGTATTCATAAGCTACGTACATATATCAAACACAAACAGATATAACAGAAAAACCCCCGTTCCTTCTCCTGTTCTGGACCAAAGCGGCGGTGCCTCATTGCGATAACCGCGCCCATGAACATCAACACTATAGGGCCACGTCTGTGGTGGTCTATTGGATCTTGGAGGCGCGCGCGGAATGCAACGCGCCGTACGAACCATCTAGCACTATTTTTGTGATACTTAATTGCGTTCTTAGTTATTAAATTATTGTTAATGTTTCAATATCATAAATTTTTCTTATTACCATAACAAACTCCTAATGACACCTAACATAGTGAAATATAAAAATTCGAATGATATCAGCGTATTTTTAAAAATGCAACGAAAAAGGATGCAATAGTAATAAAAGAAACGGAGTATCACTTTCATAATATGTCTGCGATATTTTACATTCAAAGTTGGTAGCTAATTAAGCAATTAAAATGTCAACAACCACCCTTATACGAATTTATTCAACAAAAGTTTTTAATTGTCAAAAAATATCCATGATAACATTTCCTTGTACACAATGTCATGCCATCTTAAACACAAAAAATAACTCGACGACTTAAAGAACAGCAAATTAATTTTTATCGAGTTTTACCTCGTTTAAGTTTTTCTTGTAGAATTAAACAGTAATAAGACCACTACATAGTTTCCTTATATGTAAGGAAATGATGTAGTGAGTTACAAAAACTCAGTAACTTTACAATAAATTTATCTTTTCACCTGAAAGAGTTCGTTTTCGTTAACAAAAACCATAGTGTCCGTATTTGTTACCTCCTTTTAAAATCTCACTAAAGCTAACGCTGAATCATCAATAAACAATACTAATTAACCTTGACGAATGATAAAGTAATGAATAAAAGTCAAATAAATTGTTGAAAAAATGGCAGTGGCGTGTGAAATGCGCATCGTTTTCAGTATCCGTGGGAGTTTCAGATGATCTCGGCGGTCCCTACAGTACCGGTGTTTCAGTTGTCTTGCAGCCGCCCAAGAGAGCAGCGGCCGCCCGCCCAACCGCTCCGCTCGTACGCGCATGAAACTTCGCGCTCATAAACTAACAATTCAAACTCACTTGTGAATTCTATTTAATTTAACTTAATCTGTGATTACTTTTGGATGCAGTTTTAAGGATTTGTGAACTTTTACTGTAAACATTTCGTCAACGAAAGGTAATTAGTGTTCTTAATTTCAAGCGATGTGAAGTGAACTATTTGTCTAAGTTAATGAATGTTTTTCTTGCTGTGATTAATTGTTTCGTGTTTTGTCGAAGTCTCTGCCGTGATTAATATTGATGAAGATTTTTACGGTATAAGGTATTTTAATTAAATATTCTTAATTCATTAACATAGATTGCTGAGCGACATAATTTAAATTGATAATGTATAATAATCAAAACTTCTCCTAGTTAGACCTCTTCAATGCGACATGACAATATTTATAGACACGTAAACCAAGCTAAACCAAACTAAAGCTTTGAAATGTGTGCGTGTAGTGGCTAGATTATCATCTTGATTTTTTTATAACTTGTGTTTCTGAAACATTGAGATACAAAAACATTTAATTTACTTAAAAAATATATAAACCCAACCTGTTGAGTTTGATTAAATTAATATCTATGTTTAAATTAAAAACACGAGTAACTATTATTTGACTTCAGTTAACTTGACTTTAGTTACTAAACTAATAGGAAAAGCTGGAAACAAGTAAGGATGACACGATTCTTATAAAAACAGTAAAAAATTAAAACACCCACAGTTAACCATTAGCAGAAACAAAATGGCATTTTATTTCACCATACTATATATTATTTTTTCATAAAAATTAGCTCATAATAAATTCAAAACTGATATGAAAACTTAATTACCATAGTCTTCAAATTTTCAAATTTCAACCCTAATCCAAGGACATAAGGATGTTAGTAGCCTATGTATCAACATTATATCCTATCACTACCTGTTTTTGAAGATGATGTAGTAATTTAAAAAATAGGTGACAAAGTGGTTTTATAATAAGAAAATAGTTTTATCCTTCTTATAGTCAAGTTACCTACACAATGCACAAGGATAATCCTGCAAATTGTGTCACACTTAGATTATAGGCATTTTCATTCTCTTTTTCTCGCCAGTTTTTTCCTATCCTCGTTCTAAAAAGTCCCTATCACCAATCATTAAAAAAGATGTTCAAGAATAGTATATTATCTGCGTTATTATTTGGCTACGAAATAAAAAAAACAATTAAAGTCTATTAAAATAACCATTGAATCAAATAGAAAAAGAAGAACATTTTTATTAATAACTAGCTACTCTCGCACGGTATCCTATCAGTGAAAGAATTTTGCAAATCGGACCAGCGGGTACAAAGATTTTCCCCTACAAACAAACTTACAAATTACATATTTTACTTCTTTATAATATTAGTATAGAAAGACAAAATTTGCTCAATAGCTTTAGAAATGCAAAAATCACTCTACTGAATATAAATACGCTCTTTGGTATGATTTACTGATGGTCTCAAAAGTCCAAGAGATAAAGTTTCATGTGTTTATTAAAAATATTCACTCATTAGGAATATCATTAAAATAGGTAATCACGCCGAATGAACCCCTGGTGTGAGCGACAAATGCAACGCGACACAACGCGCCATCACTTAAACACTATCAAATCAAATGCATAACTCAGAAATGTCCCATCCACTGATGATGGATGATCCAAATTACGTACTACGCTTGTCGCTTGCAGCATGAGCTCGTATCCTCTCCTCTTGCCAGCACCTAATCAGCCCAGGTACAGCTTTGTATTTATCGCTTTCTTCAAACAACCTGTTAGAAAATGTTTTACATAAATTACCTACAACATATAATTAAATTTGGTAATAGGTAAGGCAATAAATTATGATAAATTAGGCTAGTGTTATTCAAAACTGAATTTTGCGTATAATTATTAAGACTCACCGCAAGTAAATTGTAAGGAGTTTCGTTCTAATTTAGATTTTATTGTCTGAAGGTTAAGGTCACAGGTATAGTTACAGTCCTTGCGGATCGTTTGGCAGACAAAATAGTAGAAAAGGAAAGTTCTTTTATTTTTACCTCTACACACTATACATATAAATTGAAATTTATTTTTACCAAATACGAGAACCAATGGAAGTATAGAAAACAGTGTCTATTTCGTTACATTCAAGGTCAAAGTACTCATCTTAAAAAAATAATTTTTAAATTAAAATTCTTCGCTCCTTATTTCTCGAACCTGATAACATTACCTACTACCATTCATATGTGCACCTCAGCCAAATTGAGTCAAAATCTGTTTACTAACTAAGAGTTTAAGTAATCAATGGCTCTGATTACGATAACGTCAACAAAATTGATCACAACTCCATCTTGAAAAAATACGCAATACTACTAACAAATATAAATATAACAAAACTCTTAGGCTTTTCATACTTAGTTCCTATCACATTACAATTTTTATGGGTCTTTAATAAAAAACAAAAATAAAAAATTATTAAAAATTTCTATCAACGACATCATATTTCTTAAACTTCGGACACCAATTACGATTTCTTTATTTGAACGCCATCTATGATTTTTTTATTCAATCAATTCACACGATAGGGTAATTTGCTTGGAATATAGCAACAGGTTAGAATTTAATTCTTATCACATACAGTGTTGATCTCTATATCACAAGACTTTAGCGTTCCTTTTTAATTGGCTGGTGATTGTTTTTCTTGTAAGTAGGTACTTAAAACAATTATTGAATAATGGATCAGTTTTGTTTAAAGAATAAGTACATACCTGTCCTTCTTCAAAGCTCAAACAATAAAAAAAATATTATTAAAAAAACAAAATACCCGACTGCACACTAAAAAAAGAGTAAAACAAGCCCCACAATACAAATTTACTGAATATAATTTATAAATGTTGATGGAAAGCATCGCAGGCGGGGACCAACAGAGGCTTATTTATAATCATTTCTGTTGTGCACCATTTAGCAGAATTTTCGTTGGTGGCGGTCAAGGTGGTCCCCGCCTGCGATGCTTTCCATCAACATTTATAAATTATATTCAGTAAATTTGTATTGTGGGGCTTGTTTTACTCTTTTTTTAGTGTGCAGTCGGGTATTTTGTTTTTTTAATAATATTTTTTTTATTTATAACTTTTTAGCTGTTTTTATTTAACGAAAATGTTGTAGATGTAGAAGACTATGTATATGTAAGTACCATTTTAAATTATTTCGACGACATTTGGCTTTAGATTACGAGTGATGTTACTCCGCAACATAAATTTACCGCCAATCTGGACTGTTGGTAGTGAAGAAGAAAAAGAATTAGGTGAGTCATTACTGCTGAAGATCCCGCAGACGTTTAAGTTCAGTTAAAGAACATTCGTCGTGGGGCTGGTCCAACAGCTTTTTTGGGTCAAGTATTTTTATTGCTAACCCAGCAAGTATTTTAACACGGCTTAGGGCTACATAAGCCTGGCCCTTTGCAAACACGTTTGATAGGTCCACGACAGCCCGATCCAAGGTGGTACCTTGCAGTTTGTGTACCGTTACAGCCCAACAAAGTATCAAAGGCATGCCAGGCCACGCCCTATCTTTTTGCTTGCTAACGCATGAGTTGCTTTGCGTTGACGCAGAATTAACATGTTCCCGTGGGAATTTTGAGAAAAAACGTATCCTATATTAATTACTCCCGTGATTGAAATGAATCTAATGATACCGCATACATATTTTTTTAAAGGGAAATTTTGAAAAAATATTATTATGTCTTTATCCCGTGGGACTTTTAGGATAAAATGTATCCTATGACACTCCCGTAATCAAGACAAATCTAACGATACCTCATACATCAAAATCCATCAAGCCGTTTAGGCTACAGGAGGTCACAAAGGAACAGACATACATACATACTTACATACACTCGAAAAACATTACCCTCCTTCTTTGGCAGTCGGGTAAAAATAGATAACTGGCAAAAAACTTCATTAAATCGTTGTCAGCTCATGTGTAGGATTTTGTACTGCCCACGTATATGTGTACAAAGCTTTGATAATGTCAAGGAAATCTTTGCATTTACAAGTTGCTTCAAACTTTACAATATATTGGCGGCAAAGATATTTTATTAGAAGACCATGAATATGTTGTTGATGTTATATGCGAGGTAATAAGTAGAGTTAAGAGAGATGTTAAAAAAAAAAAATAAGTGTGCTTTAGTGAAAAATACGCTTTGAAATTCAAAATGTCTTAATATTATTTTTAAATATAAAGTATTCTGAGACTGAAAAAAAGAGCATTAGAAAGCTACAAAATAAAACATCAGCCGAATTGATGTAGCCGTTTTCATGTTTTGGCGTGACAACGGGAAACTGGTTTCATTAATATATACTCGTATGTATATAGATTAACTGATTTGGCTTCTTGGATTATCTAATGCCAAGCAGTTTGTATGGGAAGAAAATTGTCGATTTTGTTAATATATTACACTTCTTTTTTTCCTTTTAAATCTATCATGGACTTGTACGAACATTTCAAGGCCAAGATAAACTTAATCTAAACGAAACTGTTTTAAAGAAATTATTTTTTTATTATAATATATTCCACGGTTACGTTCATCGCAATCCGGCTTGTGACATGAAAACCTAAACCCTTTGTCAGTAGCTCAGGCATGATTGTCAACGTATGGCACCTAAAACTGACAATTTTATTCGTAATTGGTATTTACCCGCCACCTCGTAAGCGCATGCAAATCCCAAAATGATTTCCAGTTTCATAAAGGAGATTTAAGAGATGTAAGGTATACCGTCTTTGCGATTTAATTGGCTGCGGGATCTGAGACATACATATTTCAAGTTCCGATGGATGCATGGAACTTAATCTTTTAGTCACAGCTATCATATGCCTGGGTCTAAGTACACTAACATTCTTGGTCAACAACTTAACCAACCAGTGGAGGGCTGGTTTATACTACTTTGCTTCTTTAAGTGGAGCCGAACTTCGGCTCCAAATTGGTCGGCTTGACCGGAGTGATACCACGGCCTTACAGAAAACCGGCGTGAAACAATCACAGCGTTATGTTACCGGAGGCTCAAGCTTGCCCCTTTCACAACTCTTCCCTACCCAAATCCTAAATCTCCGAAACCCTAATCCCAAAAGACCGGCAACGCACTCGTAACTCCTCTGTTTTGCAGATTGCATAATGAATGCAAAAACGCCTAGACCAATTTTATCAATTTATTTTTTGTTATGTTCGTTAATGCCGAGAGAAGGTTTTTATGAAAGAAAATTTTAGGAAAGTAGAGGGGAA